CTAAATTAAAATAGGAGTTGACAAAGCTTTTCCATAAAGGGCTACATAAATAGTGTCAAACTTTATGATTCATACATTCTTGCTTTTGTGAACTCTTGTCTACATGCCAAAGTTCATTTGCAACCCAAAACCAACACTCAAGGAACTTTCAGTGTCATTCACAAACACGCACAGAGTAGTGAAAATTTAGTCATGCAACATGCACTTTCTCGGCTCGGATCCAACAAGTTGATACTCTGCATTTTTGTTTCAATTCTTATACTGTAAACAAGTGTCCCTCTCATGATTTCCACTGTTAACATACCCATTTTATATTGTTTTGGGGAAGATCCTTTGAGACCATGCAAATATCCTCATTATCCTTGAGCTTTTACCCACAAGCCCTACCTTTCACTGGTGGATCTTGCCAATGACAATTCCTGTGCTACTTGCTGACTAGTGGTTATGCTACTGCCTGCCTTCCTTGTATAATGATGAATTGGAATTCTCCAACAGAGAAGAGCTGTCTCTTGCCCCCACTTAATCACTTATACCATGGAATTATGGATACTCATTTTACTGTACAGGTTATAACCCAATACAATCATTACTTGTTTTGCAGAAAATTATTCCAATCTTGGCCATGAGGAGAGCCTCGGGTGCCCGCTCTGTGTGGTCTGCCACACTCACTTCCTTTTTGGAGCACTTCCTTATGTTCTGACACTCTAAAACGTTCTAGGCTCATTTAGTATTTTGCCCAGGTCCTGGAATCAACCAGTTCTCCGAGGAACCCTGTTCCTCAGATTGGAGAACTCTGTCCTATCAGGACCAGTCAGTGAACAAAGGTAGGAAATATGTACCCTGGCCGCCCACCTACCTTTATTTCTGCATGTATGTATGTGCCTGTAACCCCCACCGTCCACCCACCCGTCCAGCCCTCCGTTCACCTAAAGCCATCAGCTCTGACAGAGTCCTCTAATGCCCAGCAATACAAAGCTCATCTCAATCTTCCCTCCTTTGACTTTGTAACCTTTTTGGCAGCAAGAAACTTAGCTCTCAAGATCCAAAATTTTTGCTAATTTGTTCAGTCCTGGAAGAGACAAAACAATTTCAGAATTGCTACCCTGACCCCCTAAAGAAACTGTTTACTAACTGGAATACAACATTTCTGAACAGTTATTTTTTGTCTTTTTAGCCTTACAACATTCAATCAAAATGTATTTTCCAAAGTTACTTAGGTAGCTACCCTCCTCAGTGTGGTTACATTAACCCACTCGATCCCCACCCCCTCAGCCTCCAGTGTGGTTACAGTAAACATCTGTACTACAGTCAGGCTCCTCTTACTGTTTGTGTGCAAGTTGATTCCCTCCTACATCCTGGCCGTGTGGAACAGTACCATGGTTCTGGATCAGGGCCACACAAAACGCTGAGGTCAGGGAGCTGCTTGCTCCTTCTCTGCCCCTGTTATTCACTCTCATGCCCTTCTGTCTAGCCCTTTCTCATCCATACCTGCTGACGACCAAACCCATATATTCCTGGTTTGCTCTTTCTGTCACTTGTTACATTTTAGTACCTTCTTGTCCTAAGCCTGATTCACAGTGGATCCTTAGTGTGCTCCCCCTTCAGTGAACTGTGACTCCTGAAGTCAACTCCACGCCTGTAATTCACCCATTATATATGAAATGGGGCACGTTATCTTATGTTCTCCAACAGGCTTTGAGGAAAATCCCTGCTTTCCTCAGCTGGGTCACTGCTGAGGTGGGAGCGAGCAGCCACTTGGAGAAGTATCCGCTAGTGTAACGGAGTCCCTGTCTCTCCCTGGATGTGAAGACTCAGATAACTAGAACTTATCCCCATGGAAATTCCTGGGCAACATTTTCACTTTTGTTGGCATTTTTTTTTCTCTAATATAGCATTGTAAAAAAACTAGGTGGCCAAGAAATTCTTACCAAATCTCTTGCAAATTCCAGATTAGAGGAAATGAGAGAAAAAAAAGAATTACTAGTAAAAGTTGTGGGGTTTCCTCTGGTCACAAAATAACCCCTTTAATGCTCTGATTGTTACTTACTTTGTTTTGCTTTTTTGAGACAAGGTCTCACTATGTAGTTGAGACTGACCTGGAACTCACTATGTAGCCCAGGCTGGTCTCCAACTCACAGAGATCCTCCTGCCTCAGCCTCCGAATTGCTGGGATTACAGGTGTGAGCCACCACACCTGGCTGTTACTTTGTAATCAGTCCAGTGAACAGGGGTGGAAGCCACTAGAGAGAAGGTGGTGAACTGTAAACCAGTCTTAAGTAACTGGGGAAGAAAACAAAGGAGGGTTTGCATATGTAGATCTTGGAGGAAGAAACTGAGCACCTGTTTTGTGCTGGACCCTTAGCAATTGCTTCGCATCCAGGTTGATACTGCCCCTAACTCAGTATTGGCGCGCTCATCAGAGACAAAGGAAGCAGGGCCCACTGAGAGTCAGCCCATCAGCAGCCTGGCCACTTTCAGGCCCGAGTTTGTCTTGACTTGGAAGCCGAGCCCCTGTTTGGCACAGACCATACTCTGGATACGCCTATAAATAAAACTCACTGCCCCAGAGGTTGCCATCATCTTGCCTCTACTTCTCAAACCCGTAATTGAGGAAGCGGACTAATTCCCAGTTCGCGGCAGGATGTTGGGGGACTGCTGGTTTTGCTTTGCTTTTGGAAAAGCCTCGTTGTTTGCAGAATTCAGAAAACATGTCCCCTCGGAAATGTCAGGTGGCAAGTGACATTGATCATCCACATTATCCTAATCCTAAAATACTGAATTTTGGATGTTTTGACCCAGTGTTCTCCAGATATAAAAATCAGCTCATTGAAGCCAAGGAAGAAGAATCGGGATGCAGCTCCAGGGCTCTGCCCCTTCTCTGCTGTGTGACCTGGAGAAGTCCCTTGACTCTGTGAGCCCCTGCACAGGGAGTGGTAACCCAGCATGGGGGTGGAACCCTGCAGACAGGAGACAGCAGAGCGTAGTTGTGAGGTTCAGATGAACTCACGTAGCCAGGGCCCTTCTGTCTGAGAGCTGTGGTGACTGTTAACGACCGCCATGAGTGATTACCCGACAGCGAGATGGGGTCTGGGAGGCTGTGGCGGGAGCAGCCAGCCGGGGCAGAGGGCCAGGCGGGCACATGGGGTGAGGAGTCACGGACTCACCCCTGAGAGTGGTTTCCTTCCCTGTTCACTGCAAAACCAAGCACTGATCACAGAGAAAACAATAACCAGACATGCAGAGGGTTCTTCTGCGACCAGAGGAAACCCCGCGACTCTCACTAGAGCACCTCAGAGGCACACGGCCTCTCCGTTCCGCACCCTCGGTGTCCCTCGGCTTCACCCACACTAGTGAAGATCCAGGCAAGGCTCGGAGGATAAGCGTCCATGCAACCACAACAAGCCTGGAATAACTGTTTGGCAGCAGGTAACAACAGCAACAACAACAACAACGGCCCTTTGCTCCAATTAATGCTCTGTAGCTGGCGTGGTTGGAAATATTTGGGTGTTCAGAGACACAGAGCAAATCTTTCAGGTGGAAACAATGCTAAAATGTCAAAGGCTGGGGTACTCGATCTTTCCTCTCGCCACCACTCACCGCCTGCCACAGTTATCTAAATCGCTCATCTTCTGTAAGTGCTGGATTCTGTCTCATGCAGAAATCCACAGAAAGAAAAGTAAGACTTATCGGACGGCTCTGCCTAAGTCTTTCTTTTTGGCCGTGCTGGGGACCCAGCCCCAACCCTTGTGTATCCTAGGCGAGTGCTGCACGACCAAGCTCTTTGGCCAGCCCCTCCCTGCTCTTATTTCTAACCAGGTAGACAACCTGTCACCTGTCCTCGCCTGGGTACCGCCTCAGGCAGGGGAGCAGCTGCTTGTCACCCTCTCCACCAACACACAGCAAAGCATGGCTTCCAGGACCTTATTCTCGGTGAGGGTTTTCTTCTGTCCACTTCCTGCCTTCTGAGGAAGGCGCAGGAGATGAGGAAGCCTTGTGATCTGCACAAGGCCAGGCTCCAGCTGAGCAGACTCATGCCCCAGCGTCAGAGCTCAGTGGCTCTGGGGAGAGGAGCGCATTCGCAGACTGCAGCCCGGGGGCTGTGCTGGGTGTGCCCCCCACCCCAGGGCACTGCCTTGCTCCCCAAAAGTCAGTAGGACTCCTCCAAAAGCCGCACCCCGCTGAATCCTGAAATAAACGGGGCCCTAAGCCTTTCAGATCCAGCACTGGAGACCGAGAGTTACTGATGCTACTGTACACACAGCTCTGCGAAAGCAGCCCGTGAGAAATGGCAGTTGTAGAACTTTCTTTAAGCTATTTTCTTCTTTTAAAACCACAATTCGGACATGTACTTAGCATGCATAGGGCCCTCAGCTCAATCCCAAGCATCAAACAACAAAAAAGTAAGACGAATAAAAGCAGAACTCAGGCCGCACCCTCTTTCGCGTTGTTGAGTTCATGATTCAAAATGAAACCCAGAAGCCTCAGCCGAAAGGTTTCCCTCGCCCGAGCGGCTGATTCAGGAGCCCTCCTGTATAGCGTTTCTAGAAAACACCCGACGGGGGAGGGAGGCAGGAGCAGCCACGCGGTGCCCTGCGGGCTAGAGCCCTTGAGCCCTTGGGAGCCCCTCTGTTGGAAGCCTGGGCACCCTGGGCCCCGCAGAGCTGCACCTAAGTCCCGCCGCACTTCCAAGCCGGCCTCGCGGGTCCCGTTCCCTTGGGCGCGGCTGGGGCTACGCGAACACCTGCCCCACGCCCCGCGCCAGAGGCCTGGCTGGTGGGAAGAGGGTGGCTAGACGCTGTCTTCACTGCCTGTCCGGCACAAGGACAACCACTGTCCACCCTCTGGAGAAAAACAACACAGCGGCCCGCGACGGCGCAGAGGAGAACACACATTAATGTTACACACACGGGCGCACACATGCGCACACATGCGCACACACACACACACACACACCACTGGCCACTGGCAAGGCCTGCTCCGGACGGGCAGACTCGTCCCACCTGGCGCTCTGCCACTCCTGGTCGTCTTTGTCTCGCTCCTCTTTGCCGTCTGCGGCGTGGGGGTGCTTCTGCACGATCCGCATCCCTCCGGCCTTCACTGCAAGGCAAGCAGAGGGGCTGGGTCAGGGCGGAGGGGAGCCCAGGCCTGGAGAGCCCAGGTGGGGACCTCAGGGACAGCGGGAATGGAGCTGGGAGGGGCCGCCGTGGCTCGGCGCCCAGAGCCACCTATGCCCCTCCTTGGTCACCTGTCAGGTACTTCATAAGAGGGCAGTGTAACTAGAACATAAATCTGCCAAGTGGCTGCTGGCTTCGGTTCTACACGTCTTCTAGGCACTGAGGGCCACTCAAACCCCGCCCTGTGACATTTTACTCCCTCAAGTATCAGCAGTGCTTAAGATGGGGTGACGTGGCCCTGGGCCAGTCACAAAGCCCAGCAGGGGAAGCAGCAGAGACACAGCTGAGGCCTTCCCACACCATGCTGTGAGCCCCCGCAGATGTTAGCTCCTCTTAAAAATAGCTTTGTTCAGATTAATTGATGTGCAGTACAATTCTCCCATTTAAACGGTGTAATACAGGGGTTTTGAGTGTACTCAAGAGTTGCACAATTAATCACTGCAATTAATGATCACACCACAAGCAGAAACCCCATGCCTTGAATAGCCATTTCCTGTTCTCCCTCCCCGGGCTCCTGGCAACCAGTCCTTTTGCATAGAGGTGGAAACACCAAGAGCACGGCCTTTGGCGACTGACTGTCCATGGAGTGTCTCCAAGGTCCCTCCGCATGGCAGCTGGCAGCAGGACCACACTCCTCTGAGTGCAAACACTCCCCGTGCTGTACTCACTGCTGTTCAGCTGAGGCTGTGCCTGTGGGCCCGTTCCACTTTTGGGCTCTCACGAATAATACAGTTCGAACATTTATAACAACTCTTTTGTGTATATGTTTTCATTTTCTTTTTTATTTGAATGAAATACAGATAGATATTTAAAAATAGAATATAAAAAGCAACTCTTCTATGAAAAAATAAGACTTCATAACAAAACAATTAGAGAATAACAAAAGTGAATACACTGTGTATCATAATTGTAAAAGAATGGCCACAAAGTTACTGAGAGTACAGTCATAGACAAAAAAAGACTCTTCCAAAGAAGAAATAAAAAGAAATAAGGAACAGGGAGACTAGTAGTACAAATGAAACAAATTAGCATATATCTTAAAATGTTTTTTGAAACAATGAAATAGGTAACTTGGGGCATGGCTTGAACTTCTGCCTTCTTCCTATTTATCTTCTTGGGAATATACCTAGGAATAGACTGGCTGGGTGACACAGTAACTGTTTATCCAAAGGAACCAGCTGCTTACGTTTTCACTAAGTGCAGCCTGTTGGCTGTTACCTATCCTCCGCATTACAGCCACCCTACTGGGCGTGAACTGGGAGTGCCCCATAAAACTGCGTAGGACTTTAGCTCATTTGATTCACATCTGCCTAACAGCTGATTTAATACTGTTTTGCATGGAGTGGAGAGATACAGTGATTCTAAGATCTGATCAGTGTGGGAAATCTGCATTGGACAAAATCAAAGGTATGTTTTCAAGAGAGGTTTTCTGGGCCTTTAATGAGCTAACCTGCATTGGCAGCTTTGCAGAGCTTGCTGTCTCCCCCAAATACATTTGACTGCAGCTTTTTTTTCTGTCAGTAACACTGGTAATCATCTTTTAGCATTATAGTGTTTTGGGGAATAGAATGAAAATGCTGGCCCTGCATCCAGCTGTGTTCTGAGGCAGCTGCATCTCTGCTGAAGACTCTGCTGCCTGTGGTCGGCCCAGAGGAACATGGTGACTGTGGTGGGCCACATGTTGGCGGGGACAGCTGGATTTACCTGGGCCATCTTAGTCCCTTTAACGGCCATTCATTCAGCTTCAGCTCTGTATCTGACCTCAGTTCTCAGGTGTCTCAGGTGAAACTCAGAATGTATGGCTGGACCGAGCAGACTTCTGGCTTCTGCCACCTCTGCATTAAGAACGCTGGAAGCTATGGGAAAGGTTTCCCAGCTATGTGGTACCACAAATATAACCACTGCTTGTACTAATTTATCACTTGTTCTGTTCTGTGGCTATAGAAGCTCATGTGACCTCTTTGGCAGGATGTCATACTGGGTCACTTGCGCCTGCATTCCTAGGCGATGACCACTCATATTTGGCTCAGAATGAACAATGTGGACAGGAGCCATCAGCACCCTGCTCCATCTGCAGAAAGGGGCCAGTAAGACTGAGGCATTCAGATGAGCCAGCAGCACTCTTCTTGGGATTCCTGTCCCACACCCTCCCCTCCAGGACAGTTTGCTGCAGAGGCCCAGCCTGCAATCCCAGTGGCATGGTCACCTTCATGCCATGTCCTCTGCTGCCACCTCTGGCTGGACCTTGCTGATCACAAAACAGCAGGGCAAGGTTAGAACCCCCATGCTCCCTGGGGGAAACACTGCCAGCCCCCGCCTTCAGGAAGAGACTGTTGGCTTCTCGGGGCCAGGGGTGCCCTCACAGCTGTCCATGGGACGGGGCAGCACAGCCAGCAAGTACAAGAAGAACTTGTGTCTGAATGGTGTGCAGGTGGGCTGCGATGGGATCCACAGCTCCCACTGCACCGTCACATCTTTTAATGGAGGGCAGAATCTACTGGGAAAGAACCAGGACCCTATCAGGTGACCAGACCGCCCCCCCGCCGTCCGCTACGTATTCCAGTCACCAACTTTTTAATCATTTAATTTCTCACTTCCAGTGTTTGTCTTTTACTCCAACTCAACAGGACTTTACTTGAGAGTCTTCTATTCTCATGTTTCCAGGTCCGCTATCATTTCAGGCACACCTGCCTATGGTTGTATCTGTCATTTGCTGTCAGGGGTCCCTGTGGGTCTAACCCTGTGGTTCTGTCTGTTGATTCTCCTCCTGTGCTGGGTGCCTACGGGTTATGTGTTTGTCCCTGCCAGATCCTGTGGCCTGGGAGCAGAAGGCACCCTCTAGTGGGTGGGGCACCTGCTTCTGCCACACAAGAGCATGGTGCCTGGGAATTTTTATGGCTTTCTCAGAAGAGGAACTGCCAGACCAGACTGTGTCAACCTGAGCTCAACTGATATAAAGGCAAGCCTGGGTTTCCAAGCCCTCAAGGAGACCCTTGCCCTGTCTGGAGCCCAGGCTGGCACAGCCGTGATTCCCTGCAGCCCTCCTGTGCCCCTCAGGTCTCCCTCCGGCTCTGGCCTCTGAGCATCCAGCTCTGTGCTGGGGTCTGCGTCCTGCTCCCTCCTTTGTGTGGGCCCAAGTCCCATGCTCACTCTTACTTCAGGTCTCTCCTTGCTCCTGGTCCCCAGGATCTTCCCTTGCTTGGAGCTCAGAATAAAAAAAGAAAGGCAAAACATCCACTATTATGGGTGACTTTTAAACCTAGGATTTCCCAGCTTATATACTCTGCCACGAAGAAATGTGACCAAAAATAACATTCTGTCGGATATTATAATTATTTTCTATCCTCTTGAGATGTGGGGTCTCAGGACCCAAAGGAAGGGCCTAGGAGAACTGACCCACTGAGCGTTTCTTAGAACTTATTTTGCTCCGCACGCCCCCACTTTGGTCCCAGGCCCAGCAGACTCTGACTCAGGAAAGATGCCGTGCTCCTCTAAAGTGTGTCATGCAAAGTTCTGACACCCATAAGTTGGCTAGTGACTGCTTTGGGGGACAGGTCCTTCACAGAGGTAATGAAGGCAAAACAGGGTAGGAACTACTCCAACCGGACGCATGTCCTTCCCAGTGGGAGTGACAGAGGGACACATGCACGGGATCACCGGAGGCTGGAAGGAGACACCACACCTGCACCCCCGCTTCCGAGGCCCAGGACCTGGGACAGAAGAGTCTGCGGCCTCAGCTGCCCAGGTGTGGCAGTCATGGCCACCTTGGCAAAATCACCCTTTAAAGGGGATCTCGGGATCCCTGGGGCCTGGCAGAAATAAAACTTCTGAACCATAATTCACAGATGTGTTTTGTAAACTGACCAGAAGTAAACAGGGCCGCGCGCCTAACCACAAAGAAAACCAGTAACCGGTATGGAGGTGACATTTGAAATGGGCACATCGCATCGCCACAAGTCTTCCCAGACGCCTGTCAGGTCCCTAGCTTCATCAGGCCCTGTCAGAGCTGTCACCCAGCTTGAGTGCTCACATGGAATTCAGCTGCTAAAAACAATTAACTCCATTAATCCCTCTCAGTGTGTTTGGTGATTAATGCAGCAGTAAAAAGTGGCAATAATAATAGTAACTCAAGGCCGAGACAGATTCATTGGAACTCACAATACTGCCAAAAAATATGACAGCCCATATTTCTTGCGAATGTTTGATCAGTGTCTCTGGAAGCCTCCATTCATAAAACAGCAATGGCAGAATGATTTTCTGAGAAATCTCTTCAGAATTATTTGCAAATCTAGGCATTTTCATAAGAAACACTAGAAAAAAGAACTTGGATTTTTGTTGTGGTGGTCGTTACTCATATGAGATCTTTACATTTAAATAATTGCAAGTTTCCTTTTATCAAGAGTGCTATGCAGAGATGAAGGACAAGGGCATGGGTCCCGGATGGAGAGGCCCAGGTTCAAATCTCAGCTCTGCCTGTGTGTTCATGTGTGTGCGAGCGTGCATGTGGACCTGTGCCCGAGCGCCCTGCCAGAGCTCTGTCTCGGGTCCTCCATCTGTGAAGAAACTGACAGTGTCCCCTCCTAGAGACAGCAGGGGACTACGAGAAACAGGGACATGCATCCCTGTCTGCCTAATGGGCTTCACAGGTCAGAACTTGGTGCCTACGGAGCCCTCCTTCTGCAGTGCTCGGTCCTCGGTGCGTGATGCATCTGCACGGAGAGGAGGGCACCAAACCATGCACAGCTGAGGAGTGGAGAGAGGCCTGGGACACACACGCCTTCAAAGTTCTGACCAGGAGGCCGTCTGACTGCTGCAGGACGTCACCACCCCGATGACCTGGTCATTTCAAATGTCACCCTGACATTCATCATGTTTTCTTTGTGGTTTGCAGCACAGCCCTTTTTGCTTTTAGTCCACACATCTGTGAATTATAGTTTAAAAGTTGAAT